TTACTGTTATGGTGTTGGTTGCACTGAAGTTGAGATTGACACTCTTACTGGAGACTTTAAAGTAAACTTTTAGCAACTATACCATAATATGCATTGTGTAAATAATGCATGTATTTTTGTTAGATTCTAAGAAGTGATTTGTTGATGGACGTTGGTGACAGTTTAAATCCAGCTATTGACATAGGACAAGTGGAGGGTGCATTTACACAGGGACTTGGTTTATTTACAATGGAAGAGGTTGTATACCTAAAGAATGGTAAACTATTTACTACTGGACCAGGAGCATACAAGATCCCCTCATGCAATGATATACCCATTGAACTTAATGTAACTCTCATGGACTCTACTCCTAACCCAAGAGCTATCTTTAATTCTAAAGTATATACTTTTATGTTTTATAGCTTGCATGTGTGTTTGTATTATTGTAGGCTGTTGGTGAGCCTCCATTGTTTTTAGCTGGGTCAGTTTTTTTTGCAATAAAGGATGCCATAAGATCAGCAAGAATAAGCAGAGGTCATCATCCTGTGTTTGACCTTTGGGCTCCTGCAACTGCTGAGAGAATAAGACTAGCTTGTAAAGATCAGTTCACAGAAATGGTAGCTATAGCATGATTTATTATTATTTTTCATGTTACCATTATGATAGGCTAAAGAAAAGATGAAGAATAAATATCCAGAGAAAAAGGAGAGATCTGAAAGATGGAATGTAGTACCATGATAGTATTTATATTACAGTCACGTCCTTAGTTAAATGTCAAATCTGAAATTCAACTATTTATTTATACTTTTCATTTCCTTATTACTCATTACAATTGAAAGTGCGGCAACGCTTTACCCCTTATTATTAAATTTTTTATACAGCAATTTTAAAAGTATAGTCTAGACACATTAAAAAACAGCATTATAGTATATACTCAAATTGGCTATGTTTCAAAATTTTGCCTGTTTGTAGGTAAACCTCTCGACTGATCTCTTTTGGGAGTGTTTTACCACGGTGTGATTTTATGATTTTCCGATTAATTTTTCCATTAGCTAATTCTTCAATGAAGCTCTTTATTTCATCTTTTTCAATTGCAGCAATGTGCCAGTACCTGTCTGCTTCTTTTTCAAGGGAAGTAGAAAAAGCAATGAGCTCAGAGTAGTAATTAGAGACGTAATCATTCCAAGTGCATATAGCATCTACTTCACATGGCTCTTTATCACAACGAATAGTTCTAAAATCAGCTCCCATTGGTTTTTGCCCAGATGATAATACAGTATCAGGACCATATTTAAACTTAACAACTTGCGATGCTTCAATATAATTAACAGCTTCCTTGGCATAACTAGCAGTAACTTCCTCATTATGTTGACAGGAAGCAACAACTTGAATTAGAATATTATTTTCTCTGGTATGGTGCCCACAAGAAGGAATCTTCATCTTGTCTAAACGATCGGCACAATCATAGATCCAGTTACCAGAATAGCTGCAATCTGATACTACTGTTAACGACAAACCTTTTTTTTGAAGGTGCTCTTTAAATAAATTAAAGATGTCATTAAATGATATTACTCCATCTTTAAAACACCAGTTACCAGTGTCCTTCTCTCCATGACCAGTGTAATAAATAATGACTATATATATATATATATATATAATATATATATATAATGTATCATAATTCAATTATTCTTACCTCCATCTTTTTTGCAGTTGATAAATATTTTTGAAATACATTCCATGTAGTATGTTTTGGTTTGCTCACTTTCTGGTATTTCATGAAGTTGATAATCTTTTGTATTTTTCAAATAATACTTTTCGATAATACCAGCAGTTTCTAGCATCCATTGTTCTGATAAATATGAACATTCATGCCTACATGTATACCATCAACAATGTCATTTATTTAAAGTTGTACTAACTGTTGCTGAGGCCAGTCGTCATGATTTCCAAATGATCCAATAATCAAAACTTCTCTTGGTACATATTTTATTTGCCGCCATGGTTCAGAATCTAAAAATCATTTAATAAGTAATGTACTGTTATACTGTTACCTTTTATACTAAAGTAAATTACTAATATACTCTTACCAATAATTATGGTGTCTTGCATTGACTGGAACTTTGCCTCTTTTTCTGGATTCAGTTCAGCTTTATCTTTTTTAGACACCTCTTCAGGCAGCATGGTCATACTAGCTTCAAGTTTTTCTTCTACATGTGCAACAAAAACTCATTGTATACATTTGATGATTTCATACCTTCATCTTTTATGCCCATTTTGGCTGTTTCTTTGAAACTGCCGGTAGCCATTGTTATCTGTAATTTTTAACTACTATGATATTCAATATTCTCTGCATGCTAACTGACCTCAAGAGTAGTGTCAACCCATATAGCACATTGAGCTATCCTAAATTCCTTCAATCCTCTTTTTTGTAGTATGAATAACTTTTTATGGACAGTAATTATAAGTACACTGATGCATTCAGCAGGACAGTGACAGGTGGCAACAACTGACTGGCCAATATCCAACTTTATTAAAAAAATATGCAACGGCTCTAGCATCTCAAGGACAGCTCTAACATCTTGCAGTGTTGATTCATCTGGATTCCAATTAAAAATGAAGGTAACTTCCTCTCGCTTGAGAATCGATGGAACAGCAACCACATGTAACTTCTCCCCAAGGCATAAACTGATTGATACATCCTTGCAAAATGTAGCAGCTTTTTCTTCATACTTTTCAATGATCTCTTCAGCTTCTTGTATCTTAAACCTTTTCACTATTCTTTTTAGAAGACGCACATCAACAATACTACAGTTATT